TGCTCTGTGATACATATTAATTCTTTTATACTTCAGTTGTCTGTTTTGAAAGTAAAAGGTGTATGGATCACTTGCCACAGTAATTTGAATCAACAGAAAGCTTTACACCTTATCACCCACATTCACATACCATCTCCCACATACACATACCATATATGCAAATTAAAGAGGGGAACTCCTGCCAAAATTCTTTTGGCTTTGCATTGAATTAAAAAAGTTTTGAACATCTGTAAGGTTGCTTTCTATTTACTATATGTGTCCATGTAATAACTCCTACTGCATCTAAAGCAAAAAAAAAAAGTTTTTGCTAGAAATACACTTTAACAAACTCATTCCCTTGTCATGTTTTTTTTTCCCCTCTCTTCTTCTTCCTTGTCATGTTTAATCAAACAAAGCAACAACATCTAAAGGGAAACTATAATGATTCATTAACCACTTGCCCTCCTGAGGATTTACTCCCCTTTTTGACCAGGCCATTTTTTGCAATGCGGCGCTGCGTTACTTTAACTGTCAATTGGGCAGCACAGTGGCTAAATGGTTAGCACTTCCGCTTGGCAGTACTTGGGTCGTTGGTTCAAATCCCTGCCACGGCACCACCTGCCTGGAGTTTGCATGTTCTCACTGTGCCTGTGTGGGTTTCCTCCTGGTACTCCGGTTTCCTCCCACACTCCAAAGACATTCTGGTAGGTTAATTGGATCCTGTCTAAATTGGCCTTTGTATATGAATGTGAGTTTAGGGACCTTAGATTGTATGCCCCTTGAGGGTTAGGGACTGATGTGAATGTACAATATACAGTCATGGCCGAAATTGTTGGCACCCTTGATATTTTTCCTGAAAATCAAGTATTTCACACAAAAAAGGTATTGCATTAACACATGTTTTGCTATACACATGTTTATTCCCTTTGTATGTATTGGAACAAATATAAAACAGAGGCAGAAAAGCAAATATGACATAATGTCACACAAAACCCCAAAAATGGGCTGGACAAAAGTATTGGCACCCTTAACTTAATATTTGGTTGCACACCCTTTGGAAAACATAACTGAAATCAGTCGCTTCCTATAACCATCAATAAGCTTCTGACACCTCTCACCCGGAATTTTGGACCACTCTTCCTTTGCAAACAGCTCCAGGTCTCTCTTATTGGAAGGACACCTTTTTCCCAACAGCAATTTTAAGATCTCTCCACAGGTGTTCAATGGGATTTAGATCTGGGCTCATTGCTGGCCACTTCAGAACTCTCCAGCGCTTCTTTGCCATCCATTTCTGAGTGCTTTTTGACGTATGTTTGGGGTCATTGTCCTGCTGGAAGACCCAGGATCTTGGACGCAAACCCAGCTTTCTGACACTGGGCCCTACAGTGCGACCCAAAATCCTTTGGTAATCCTCAGATTTCATGATGCCTTGCACACAGTCAAGGCACCCAGTGCCAGAGGCAGCAAAACAACCCCAAAACATCATTGAACCTCCACCATATTTTACCGTAGGTACTGTGTTTTGTTCTTTGTAGGCCTCATTCCGTTTTCGGTAAACAGTAGAATGATGTGCTTTACCGAAAAGCTCTATCTTGGTCTCATCTGTCCACAAGACGTTTTCCCAGAAGGCTTTTGGCTTACTCAAGTACATTTTGGCAAACTGTAGTCTTGCTTTTTTATGTCTCTGTGTCAGCAGTGGGGTCCTCCTGGGTCTCCTGCCATAGCGTTTCATTTCATTTAAATGTCGACGGATAGTTCGCGCTGACACTGATGCTCCCTGAGCCTGCAGGACAGCTTGAATGTCTTTGGAACATGTTTGGGGCTGCTTATCCACCATCCGGACTATTCTGCGTTGCAATCTTTCATCAATTTTCCTCATCCGTCCACGACCAGGGAGATTAGCTACAGTGCCATGGGTTGCAAACTTCTTGATAATGTTGCGCACTGTGGACAAAGGCAAATCTAGTTCTCTGGAGATGGACTTGTAACCTTGAGATTGTTGATATTTTGCCACAATTTTGGTTCTCAGGTCCTCAGACAGTTCTCGTCTCCTCTTTCTGTTGTCCATGCTTAGTGTGGCACAGACAGACACACAATGCAAAGGTTAAGTGAACGTCTCTCCTTTTTATCTGCTTTCAGGTGTGATTTCTATATTGCCCACACCTGTTACTTGCCCCAGGTGAGTTTACAGGAGCATCACATGCTTGTAACATTCTTATTTATCCGCAGTTGTGAAAGGGTGCCAATACTTTTGTCCAGTCCATTTTTGGAGGTTTGTGTGACATTATGTCGAATTTGCTTTCTTTCCTCCCTTTTTTTGTTTTGTCCCAATACACACAAAGGGAATAAACATGTGTATAGCAAAACATGTGTTAATGCAATACGTTTCGTGAGAAATACATGATTTCCTGGAGAAATATCAAGGGTGCCAACAATTTCGGCCATGACTGTATATGTAAAGTGCTGCATAAACTGACGGTGCTATATAAGTACCTGAAATAAATAAATAATTGCGCGGTAATGCAACACTGCACCCAAATGAGATTTATGTCCGTGTTTCCCCACAAATAGAGCTTTCTTTTGGTGGTAATTTTTAAATTTTTTTATTTTTTCCACTATAAACAAACAAGACCAAGTCTGAAAAAAAAAAATATTTTTGATTTTTTGCTATTAAACCATGTCCAGTAAAAAAATTTTAAAAATCAAATTTCGGCATAAATTTAGGCCAAAATGTATTCAGCGGCATGTTTTTGCTAAACAAAAATCCCAGTACGTGTTAATTAATTGGTTTACATGAAAGTTATAGTGTTTACATATGGCATATTATACTAGTGTATATATAATGGATTGGTTTGTTTTTTTTACTAGTAATGGCAGCGATCAGTGACTTATAGTGGGACTGCAGTGGGCATTCTGACATTGGGGGGGAACTGACTTAGTGTCACTGACATCCCCAGTGACACCAATATAGTGATCAGTGCTAATAAAAAGGACTGACACTGTACTAATGGTACTGGGCAGGAAGGGGTTAACATGTTGGGCGATCAAAGGGTTAACTGTGTGCCATTTTACTATGTTGGCTGTGTGTGTGCTTTACACTGTTAGCACACTGCTTTGTATGGCTCTGCCCTGTAGCTGTATTTCTGCTATAGGGCAGTGTGGAAGCAGTTAATGATTTTATAATGATTTCTTTTTAAAGGAGATAAATACAGTATATAGTCACAACATACAATTTCATTTTATAATATCAGCATATGAACAATTGTTATTTTTGACAATCCAACAGTTTATGTAGACTAAAGACCTCTGTAGTGTCTTTTTGGGGAGGCGGGGGTTATGAGAAATGGTTCTCCCCATACAGGATGTTGTGCTAAATCTGTAGGTAAAGAAGAGAACCAAACGTTCGCTAAGTGGAAGAGTAGGTTTGATAATAAAGTTGTCAGTGCCGCCACCCAGGACAGGGCCTCTATGAGTAGAGGGGATTCCCTTCTTGAGAAATTGACCAGGAATCTAAACAAAGTAATTGAGAGAAGAGGAACTACTGCAGCCAACATATAACATTAACCATAAGCATATACATACACACCAGTATGGGAAGAATACAGTCATGGACGGAGATTCTGACAGATCCACTTGATCTGCAAAAACAGCTGCAGTTGACAACAGTTTTCTTTGTTTTTTATGTTTCTTAAAGCCAGAAGGTTGGAATGTTAAATGAAAATCGTCCGTGATTAGTTTTTTTTTCTACATAATTAAACAATTGAATGAACATTTTCCAAGAGTGGTGATTCCATACTTTTTGCCAGGGGTTGTAGTGATGGCAAGACTCCTTCAATGCCATACAGGTCAATAGAGTGTAAGGCAATGCTTGACTATGTATGAAAATAAGATCTTCTGAACCATGCTTGCTGTACATCAAATTTCTATGTCAGTTGACATGTTCGTACATTATTAGACAGATACACAGAATGCTTGAAGGTAAAAAAACCTTCAGCCTTTAGAACCACTTTAAAATGACTTACCTGTTATGGAAAATATAGCAGGACTGTTACATGCTTACTTGCAGGAACATTAGATGTTGAAGTGTAGTAATCTACTTTTTCTTACTGATTGTAACATTGAATATGTACAGTAAGAAGATATGTGCATATAATGCTTTGTTGCCATTTACACTATATTGCCAAAAGTATTGGGACCCCTGCCTTTACACGCACATGAACTTTAATAGCATCCCAATCTTAATCCATGGGGTTCAATATTGAGTTGGCCCACCCTTTGCAGCTATAACAGCTTCAACTCTTCTGGGAAGGCTGTCCACAAGGTTTAGGAGCGTGTCTATGGGAATGTTTAACCATTCTTCCAGAAGCGCATTTGTGAGGTCAGGCACTGATGTCAGACAAGAAGGCCTGGCTCACAGTCTCCGCTCTAATTCATCCCAAAGGTGTGCTTTAGCATGCGCTTCTACTTTGTTATAATACCACTAACAGTTGACCGTGAAATATTTAGTAGCAAGGAAATTTCACGGATGGACTTATTACAGGTGGCAACATATCACGACACCACGCTTGAATTCACTGAGCTCCTGAGAGCGACCCATTATTTTACAAATGTTTGTAGAAGCAGTCTGCATGCCTAGGTGCTTGATTTTATACACCTGTGGCCATGGAGGTGATTGGAACACCTGAATGCAATGATTTGGAGGGGTGTCCCAATACTTTTAGCAATAGAGTTAAAGTTTTCTGCTCCAATATCCAACCAAATGGCTCTTTTTTCATATCTATAATTAGAATCACATGTTCCCAGCTATTTCCAGATCCGATTTAACATGTAATGACACATTTCCATAATACCACCAAACCTTTTTCACAAATCAACTCTCTACATTTAGTAAGATTTGCAAACAAGCTTATAGAAAACTTGAAAACCTGAAACTTTTATTGATCATGACATCTTTGCTTATTATCAGTACTTATATGTATTTTTTATGTTCTTTTATGTTGTAGTCATTACAACAGTAAACCATGCCCAACTACAAGCTGACCTATTTCAATTTCAAAGGGAGAGGAGAGATTGTACGCTACATATTTGCTTACAAAAATACTCCATTTGAAGATAACAGAATTGAATATAATGAATGGGCTGCCCACAAAGCATGTAAGTATGAATCTATTACAGAGATGGTGTTGTATCCTGCATTCATATTTATAAAGTAATGTATAATAGATGTATGCTTTTTTTTTAAATATATTTAAATGTGTTTGCTTGCTTAGTCTGTTCTTAGATTGATAGTTATTATAAGGTCTGGGCTCCTAAAAATGCATCTGATGTTCTGGTTGGGGGAATGCAACTTCTGGCTGTGCGATGCATTAGCTCTGGTTGAAAAGTGAAGGCAATTTTAGTCTCCACCTCCACATGTGCCATCTTCTGATGCTGGATAGTACAGCTTTTTATCAGAGCTATGCCTGATGAAAATTATGCAGCTCCTTTTTGAGGAAGTCCAATTCATAGATGAAATGTATGAGGCTTGTGAATTTTCTGCCATATCACACTTGTCTTGGAGATACACTGTCATTAGATGTGGACCACATAGTGGCTAGTGAGAGTAGTATAATATTCAGCTGAACTGTGCATTTTTTAAGGAAAAAGACCCTTATCCCTTTATCTAGACTGGATGGCTGTACCATTTGGCATCCATTTAACTGAGTGCACTAGCTGGTTATCACCAGTGGTTGGAATTTATCTGCTTGGCTGATACACAACAAGAATTCCTTGGTTTTTTTACATCCTATCATTATCACAATTATAGAGGATATGGGCTATCATCATATGACAATAATTTGTTTGAAAAGATGTGTATTAGGAACTCATTTTCGCCAACAATGTGTGCAAAGTATAGCCTGCTCTGCCAAGAAATCCTTTTATTGTCACCACATTATAACCAGCAGACTGCATTAGATATTAGGTGTGTGTTTTCTATCGGGAATATGGGAATTTATAATGTATTTATATGGGAGTCATACAGACTAATGACTGTTAACATTACTTCCTCCATTTGTTCATCACAAAGTTGAGGACTGTGCCAAATGGGAAGCCACTGTATCCTGTTACATGACAGGATAAGATGAAATATTGCATGCATCCACTATATTCATGTTTTCTCCAATTTAAGAATGTACAGTTTTGCATATTTTTTCCGCGAACCATGGTAATATTTGGGACATTGTTATTGGGCACATTGGTATACAATTTACACTTTTTAATCTGGAGTGAATTAGAATTCTGCACTTCTATTGTAACAAAGTACAACAGCGATATTACACCAGTTATGGACTCCTGACCTCAGATTTGCACAACAGTGCGTAGAGAGCTTCATGGAATTTGTTTCCATGGCCGAGCAGCTGCATCCAAGCCTTACATCACCAAGTGCAGTGCAAAGCGTCAGATGCAGAGGTGTAGAGCACGCCACCACTGGACTCTAGAGCAGTGGAGATGTGTTCTCTGGAGTGACAAGTCACACTTCTCTGTCTGGCAATCCGATGGATGTGTCTGGGTTTGGAGGTTTGTCAGGAGAATGGTACAACAAACTTATAGGTGTGCCCAAGGAAGCCCTGCAAAGGGTGCCCAATTTGAAGTTTCTGGATCTGTACTGCTTAGACCTTGAAGAAGGGGACATTCCCTGAAAGCTTGTCCTCAAAATTGTATGTTAGTGCAAATAAAAAAGTATCACGGACAGTACTCAATTGTTTCTGTCGCAAATGCATTAATACGGCTACAATCAACTCAAACAAAAAGACTGAGTACAAAGAATTCTGCATCTGCGGTTACAGTTCAGAAATATTAATATTAGACTAGCATTATCAGAAGCAGGCTAGCAGTGGCAGTCTATATATCTCTGATGTCAAGTGTACTTTGACCTAAACTACACAGGAGAATTTGGACACTGGCAACAACAGTGATGGCTCTGGTATAACTCCTTCCACTTCTAGCTTGCCTCAGTTTGTAGAGAAGCAGTAAAGGGAATAGGATCACAAAACAGTCCCTTAATGAACTTCAAGAAATGCATTTTATGGTAAATACAAAAATTCTATATTAAATGTATTCAGGAACAGGATTCAGAGAAACATTGCATGTCTAAAAGCCGTCCAAGTGAGGGGTTGGCAAAAAAAAAAAAACGGAGGGCTGTCTGCAGCTCAAAGAGTTGCCTGAAGGACTTTATTCCCAAACAAGACATCAGATGAGGCCTGAACATCCACCTAGTAAAATTTAGAAAATACTTGCAAACTATAACAGGTGGCAGTTTTGCAAATCTGGGAAACAGTCGTCTGATGCCAAAAAGCTCAAGAAACACTCACAGATCTAGTAGAATGAGCTTTAACAGGAAAGGCTGGAGCCCAGTGTTTAAGACTAAAAGCTTGAACAATGATATGTTTGAGCTACTGGGGAATGGTGTAATGAAAAGCCAGTTCCCCTTTACTGGGACTATCAGAGATGTTTGTAATGGAAGCAGAGGCTGCAAGTTAAACCCACACAACAGACATGGAGGAGAAATGTATTTATGATATACTGACTCTGGACAGAGAGACAAGAAATCAGTGTCCTGATTGTGGTGAAAGGCCGAAGCTACCTTGGGAAGGAAGAAGGCTCTGGGCTGAAACACAACCTTACCTTTGTGTAAGACCAGAAAGGGTTCTTTACAAGACAAGGTTGCTATATCAGACACACTCCTTGCAAAGATGATGGTGAAAACAACATTAAGAGTAAGCATGGCAAGGGGAATTAAACTGATTGGTCGAAAAGTGCTTGAAAGAACCAAATTCAAATCCATGGAGTTACCAGTGGTTAGTGATTTTTCAAATAGGATAGCATTGCCCAAGATTTGCCCCTTAATGGTATTCAGGGCCAAATTTTGATTCAAGCTGATTGTAAACAAGGTGAGGATCTGTCCCACAGAGTATTTCCTGAGGTGAACACTTTAGTCCTTGCACCACGGTAGCATGCATTCCATGTGTGATGGTAGACCTTGTGGAATGTAGACTTCCTAGCTTTTAACAATGTGGGAATTAGCAAATTAGAGAGGCCCCTGTCTTTTAAAACCTGTGCTTCAACAGCCATGCTTCTAAAGCTGCCAACCATGAAGAAAGGTGGTAAATTGGTCCTTGGGATAGAAGATCGGGTCGATCAGACACTGCTCAGTCAGGTCAGAGTACCATATCCCCTTGGACTAGTTTAGAACTATGAGTATCACCAGAATGCCCTCTTGTCAAGACAGACAAGGAAGAAGTTTCAGAGGAGAAAAAAGGCATAGATCAGGTTATACTGATTCCATGGAGCCACCAGAACAACCATTGTTTCCACCAGAAGATTTCTGCACCTGGAGATAAACCTGTCCAGTTTGTTGTTGAACCTGGAACCCAGGTCCTGAAACACTTCTGGGCATAAGAACTATTCATTTGGGTCCAAGCACTGCTTGCTGGGGTAGTCTGCTTGCCAATTGTCTATGCATGGGATGTGAACAGCTGATGAGGCTGCCCAGGACAGAATCCTTTATACCCTTCTTGTCTCAGGAAGACTTCTAGTTTCTCATTGATAGTTGATGTACACCACTGCTATGGCATTGTCTGACTGAATCCAGATCAAATGACCCTCCAATCAGGAGGTCCAGCACTGCAGGGAGAACAAAATTGCCCAAAATTCTAAAATGTTGACTGGGAGATGAGATTCCTACAGTGCCCAAGCCGCTTGCATCAAGAAGATGTGTAGGATTCCATCCCAGCCCTAAAGGCTGGCAACCAATTCCTAGGACACTAGCAAAAAAGTGAAGCATGCTGGGAGTGGGATGGGTTATACCAGACTGTTCATTCTTTGTTGTTGCCAGTATCCAAATCCTCTTGCAGTATAATTGTTCTAAATCTTGCATCCCTTAAAGTGGTTCTAAAGCAGAAGCTTTTTTACCTTAATGCATTCTATGCATTAGGGTACAAATCCTTCTGCAAGCAGCTCCTCCCCCATCCCCCTTATACTTACCTTAGGCCAGTCTCGATCCAGCAATGTGCACACTGTGCGCAGTGATGTGTCATTGGACAGATTCAACAGCGGGAGTCATTGGCTCCTGCAGCTGCCAATCACAGCCAGTGAGGAGGGAGTGGGGGCCGAGCCATGCTCTGTGTGCCTTATGGTCACACAGAGCCAGCTCGGGAATGAGCACCCACTATTGCTCCATGGCAAGCAGCTTGCTATGGGGGTACTTGGCAGGGGGGAGGGGCCAGGAGTACTGGCAGGGGACTCCAGAAGAAAAGAATTGGGGCTGCTCTGTGAAAAACCATTGCACAGAGCGATTAGTTTTGACATTTGTTATTTAAAAAAAAAAACTGAGCCTTTAGAATCACTTTAATGAGCGAGAAAGAATACACAGTATGTAGTCTTAATAGTATTTGTTATCAGCCATTAAAACAAGAAATAGTTTTTTTCCATATATTGATATATTTTTAAATTAGCAACATTTGAAGTTTTCAACCGTGATATCACTGTGCCAATTTTTTTTTGGAACAACTGAGAGTTGTTTAAAATGTATGTTTACAGTCTGGGCAGTGTTTCAAATATTTCAAAATTCAACAAATTATACAGGACATCAAACGGATGTTATCCTTTCAAGGTTAGTAACTGTTCAGTGACATGGCATTCCCTTGAGAAGAAGATGTGTCATGCATTTTAGCACATATGTATTAAAAAAAAAGTGTTTGCTTTAACGCAATCGATAATTTCACATTCACTTCATAAGGGAAAAAAACTTTTTTGGAAGTAAAGTCATTTTGCAGAAACCTATAGCAGTCAGTTAAGATATTGCCTTACATTTAGAGCATTTAGAACAGAAAACTGAATGTTTTCTACAGGTAGATGCAGTCTGCATATTGCTCTACTAACGTTAATCTGTAACTTAGCCTTGGTTGCATAACTGTATTTCATCATGGCTACATGGATTACAATAATCAAAGGGTATAAGGTTCATGCTTGGGACAGCATGACATGGTATTATATGGCTTCTCAATTTTCATGCCTGCAAAACAACAAAACTATTAAACTACAACATTCTAGTTGACATTTTTCCAGTGAAATACAGAAGCAATGACCTTATTTTACCAGCTATTTTTAAAGCA